GAGGCACAGCCAAGAGAGGTGCCCTCGCTGCAAGTGAAGCCGAGACCGGTCGGCACGTCCATGAACCAGCCCCAGGCCGCCCTTGCCGGCGAGGCAAAGAGTCCTCCCAGTGCCTGGAAGGCCATGGCGCCGGCAGCTGCAGCAACGATCTTCATGGTCATCGGAAAGGCGCGAGGCGATAAAAGCAGACTCTGGAGTGCTTGAAGCCAAAATGCTTGCCCCACATGTCAGCTGTGCAAAACAAGAAGCCGCAGGCACATGCTGGCGTGCGAAGGTGTCTTACACCAGCAGCTGCTCCTGTATGCCCCTCTGTTCAGATGTTCCCACGTGCTTTAGCCAGGTGTGAGGACTGACAGCGCAGCCTGTCCAGACCGGAACGGAACGCCGGCCTCCTCGTCGAAAAGGTACGGGCCGGACTCCTGTCGAAAGAAGACAGCCGCGCTTTGGACCACTAGAAGTTGCAGAGGATCATGGATGCTCCTTTTATTTCAACCCCAGCAAAGGCTTGGCACCAGGCCTTCCCCCTCACTGGCCCACTGTATCGGCCGAGGTGGGCTGGATTGTCCAGGAATGCTTCCATTCCTAAGAGCTTCAGCCCCGATGTGATGACAGGCACCTCTAGTCTGGACCCAAGGCCTTAGTTCACGCTGAGACTGCGGCCAAGGACACGAAGCCGGGCCCTCTCTAATTTTGTGGGCTCAGATAGCTGCAGGACCGAGCAAAGGCCGAAGTGAAACGACGAGAACTCGCAAGCAATCTGAATCGGATGCAGCAGGGAGCACGCATTGGAGCCCCATGAACCAAGTGGGTCTTGTTGAGACTACTTCCAAAAGAGCTCCAAAAACTGGGCCACGCGACCATCGGAGCCTGTGAACTGCACTTGGCGAGCACAGTTTTGCGACTATGATCCTGCATGATCCTCCCACCACCGCAGCATCTCATCGTCTCTGCCGCTGCGCTTACCATAGTACTTGATCTCCTTGCCGTCAGGGCCTTGACTCTGCAAACCCTGAGCACTACGCCCAGAAGGTTGTATCGACCACAGACTCTGTGGAATGTTGCCATCTTGCTAAACCCTAAACCCCAAACCCTAAACCCTAAACCCTACACCCTGCCCTCTTTATCCGGCCAGGACACCCAGAAGCATGTGAGCGGAGAACATCGAGAGACGGTGCCAATGATGCATGGCCTCGTTATGGGGGTTTCCGAAAATAGGGGACCCTAATATAGTACCCTAAATACTAGGATCCTCATTATAAGGACCCCAAAATAAGGTACCCTAATTTTCGGAAACTCCCTTATCGAACTTACGTGTTTGTGGCGAGATTATCGGGTTTTCCTACACCCAAAGTCAGCGGCACCGGGCAAGCGGCCTCATCCCGCGTGTTGAACACAACACCATCGACCATGCCAAAGTTGTGGTGGCTGATGACAGCATAACCTGACCGTTTCCATGTTTGGTGGAATTTCGGGCCCCTAAACCCTAAACCCTAAACCCTAAACCCTAAACCGTGGCATGACATCGCCCGCCTCGCTCTGGAGGATGCTTTGCCACTGCCCGGGGCACGGGAATGGCCTGCTGGGCCTCCAAGGCACTGAGCGTGACCACCGCCAGGCCGCGCTGCCGCAATCCTCCAAACAGCAGACAAGACGAGGGATCTGCTAAATCTGACCGGGCTGTGACGGGATCAAAGACGATAAACCCCTGCCCCAAGCCATAGCTGCCATAGCTGGAACTAAAATCTTCGATAAGGAAAAGGCGGAGGCCTTCCAGAATCAGTTTCAGGGCCTCAGCCAAGACAAAGCTCGCAAGCCATCTGCCCGAGGCAACACGAAGGCAAATTACATGCGACCACGTGTTCGTATGTCTGTTTCACGGTTCTGTAAGTTTGGCCGCCATCCTACTGCTGCAGTCGCTGCAGTCAAGGCACCTGGAATATGTGTTCCCGAAAGCCTCGAAACGGAGACACAATGAAGAAAGAGGAGAGAGGAGAGGGTAAAAAGAGAGAGAGAGAGAGAGGTAGGACGGGGAGAGAGGGAGAGAAGGGGAGAGAGGGAAAAGGTAGGGAGGTAGGTAGGTTGGCAGGTAGGTAGGTGGGTAGGTACGTAGGTAGGCAGACAGAGTAGGCTATGCATGAACTGCCTCGCTCTGGCATATGCGCGATCAGGACGGAACCGCTGCGAACCTCACGCGGTCACAGCAAATCGTTCGGGCGATAGGCCAAGCATCCAACCCCTTGCCTGTGCCAGCATCGTGCGAGCCACCCAATCGGCATCCTGCCGAGAACAGTCCACGAATAATGTTCAAAAGGCCAGTCAGCCTCACTAACAGACAGAGCCCGATTTGCCACAGTGGCAAAGAAAAACGCCGAAGATATGCCTGGAGAACAGCCCGAAAGTTTCAAGCGTTGCCCATGTCATGAGTCGTTCAAAACTAGACGGGGGTAGCCCGAATGCATGTTTTTAATCGAAAAGAACAAATAAACATCTCCAAAGGGCT